TTTTTTTATGTTGTATTTCATTTAAATATATATACTGAAAAGATCAGAAAACACAGAGTAAACATTTGAAGTGATTTAATGTTAAGTATTTGAATGTTATGTACAATATTTTCTTCATATAAGTATAAAGAAAAATCTTTAATGAACAAAATAATGGAGCACATTTGACAGTACCCCCCAATATCACAGAGTGAGACCGATTGATTTGTCATCTGGCACAGCCCTGATCTCTTGTGCATGGAGTTCATCAGTGCATTTATCCTTCTCATTGGGATATTGTTCCGCTCTTTCAACAAGAAAGTCCTTAGTTGGTCGAGAGTATCGGGGACATTCCGACGCTTCCTTACCCTCTTATCAAGTTCGTCCAACAAATGTTCAATTAGGGAAAATGTTAACTATAGGGCGGCCAGTCTAGTGGGTAAATGTTATGGTTTGTGAGGAAGTCACGACAAACTTTGGGTGCATGGGGCCGGGCATGATCATGGTGGAAAATTTAGAGATGTTGTTGCACAAAAGGAACTGCAACCGGACGGAGGATTTTATTCTTCTTTGTTACAGTGGATAAATTCTCGGCTACCACAATCAACGATGACTTTACCCCGTGATATATCCCTCCCTAGACTATAACCGAGCCACCACCAATCCTACACAGTTTTGGCGTGAAGTTGGCGAATATGATTGCCTACCGTAAAATTAGCGGTTTCAGTGGTAGAACATATGCGATTATGCAATTTAGACGAATAGCCCTGTCTCTGAACTTCTGTCAGCCGTATCATGATTCCAATAGTTTTAAATTGACAGTAAATAGCGGAAAGCGATGTGTATATCTCAAGAGTATCAAGTGGAATGTCAAGATGTGTTCACGAACTTGTCATCATTATTCTGTACGTTTTTTTAATTATTTTTTTTGTAATTTAATTTTGCAATGTAGCACGGTACATTACACAGTTGAGTACTTTAGACACCGTTATGAGTGCACAGTGACTAAGATACTTGTCTGAACGGTTTTATAATTTTAGACCAAGCAGTGCAATAATTGTTGCATATTTTGTTACCCTGCGTTTCTTTATCCTTTCCGTACTGTATATATAAACATTGTATTCAAGTCTATGTGACAGGAAAATGATACATATCACTTTAAAAATCAAAAGCAGACCGAATCTTGAGGCTTTTTCGCTGCTATATTGTATACAGTTCCTGAAATATTGCTGATGTACAGTTCCCCAGGAGAATGAGGGGGAGCGGTGTAGCAGCGAAAGGCCTCGCGAATCGCCCTGCGTGTGATTTTTAGATTTACACATACACATTCACCACCACCACCACACACACATACACACATATATATAGGCACCGAAATAATAACGACAGCAAACAAAGGTTACTTATGTAATTATGATTTATTAGGAAAATGTGAATAAAGGTAGTGATGAAATATATTTGTATCTCTATGGTAAGCTTTGGTTACAAGCTGACCGAAGGGATATTCGATACTACAGCATCTTATGAAAGTGGTACCTGGATTTTTGTTAATGTAATTTATGTTGTAGTATTGTTTCATAATGACTGCTTATCTCATTGTTATAGGTTGTGATATGTAATTGCTCATATTTTGGTTTTGAAAAGGGGCGGTTGACTTAAAAAAATGACAAATTCCTTTGTCCTCAGTGTGTTTATTAATTCAAGTACAAACATTTGTTTGTTTTAATCCAGTGTCGATATTGCATTATACTGTCGTTATTACTTATGAGACCTTTATATAATAAACATGAAAAAAAGTTCTTATTCTTAATGTCCAGTTAAAAAATTCAATTTGAAGGGTATCAATACCATGGTGAATGTACAAAGATTTCTTTGTTATTTTGTGTTCATTTTTTACTTCTTTTCTCTTTGTTACAGAGAGGATATATAAATTAAAACTCCCATGTTCCTCATATTATTTGACTGAGTGGAAACAGAATGTAGCCAAACTTGTGCAACATGCGTTGGCGTCGCCAATATCCGAAATGTCAACAGTCAACATGGCCTAAAACGATCGCTTACAGTAAGAGGTTACGTTCTGGCCAATACCACGTTTGTTCGGATATATCTGACGATATTTTTGCCTCGTTTGCATGCCTGGATATTTGCGATAGACTTAATAACTTTGCAAGTATTGCAATTGCGAAAAAGAGAATAAAATTACTCAAAATAGGAAAGGCCGATTTCAAATTTATTTGGTCAAAATATTATTCAACCGACAGCAGTAATACAAATGCTACCATGGAACGACTTTCGCAAGTCTTCGAATGAGACTTTTTTCATATGGACAAAATTTGAATTAAGAAGGTAATTTCCTTTGCAATTGAAATCATCGCGACAGATAATGAAATGTGACAATTATAAAACAAATTAAAGATTTACAAAATAAAATCAACAATGGTTTTCTGTGTGTTACAATTTCAGAGGGGCTACAGCGGGACTCGAACCACAGACTTCAGAGTGTTATTATATCGTTCTTACCAAATGAGCTACCTGTCGATATGTTAGTGAGATACATACACAATACGTTTTCTGGTGGTGTGTCAATGAAAAACAAATACAATACATGCTCTGCCTGTGTGATTTAGTAAAATACACACAAAATAATCTGTCTGTATGCTAGGTAGATACACGCACAATACTTCATATGGCTTTATGTTAGTGAGACACATACACAATACTTTTTATGGCTTTGTGTTAGTGAGACACATACACAATACTTTTTATGGCTTTGTGTTAGTGAGACACATACACAATACTTTCTATGTCGGTGTGTTAGTGAGACACATACACAATACTTTTTATGTCGGTGTGTTAGTGAGATACACACACAATACTTTCTATGTCGGTGTGTTAGTGAGATACATACACAATACTTTCTATGCCGGTGTGTTAGTGAGATACATACACAATACTTTCTATGTCGGTGTGTTATTCAGTTACATACACAATACTTTCTATGTCGGTGTGTTTGGTCTATATTTGTGTCTGTATATATAAACTTGTCAGGAGTCAGTTAAAATACTGTTTTCAGATCTGGTCTCCTTACCAAACATCTTTAATTCACCGGGTCGAAGTTGCCCAGCGTAAATCTTTGATTTTTTTAATGTTTTAAGGCACAAGTTGACTACAATTCCATGTCTTACGCTGCCGCTTTTAGGCATTTTAATCTTCCTAGCCTCGAACATATGCAGGCATTTTTAGACTGTGTATTTCTTTACAAATGTGTTAATAGTGCTTTTGATTGTCCATATTTAGTCAAGCAAATGTGTTTTGTAGTCCCTGGTCGTAATTTACGATCAATTCGTTTCAACCAGTTTTACTGCCAGAGAAGTAGAATAAACGTTGGAAAGTATAGTATTTTAAACAGGATTCTGCACACGATTGCGATATGTTTCGTTCCTCTCTCGCCGAGTTCAAAGTACGGTTAAAGAACATTTGCTATCACTAATTCCTTTTGTTTTACATATGAGTATCTTTTAGTGTGTGTTACATGAATAACTGACTGTGATATTTTATACTTGTGTTGAAATGTTGTTATCCATTCTGTAAGTGGACCATGGGGTCTGTTGAATTGGAAAAAGATCAATAAATAAAGAAATAAAATAAAAACACATCCACAATACTTTCTGTAGCTTGAGGTCTGAAAGTTTTGATGTTAAGAATCGTTTTCCGGGTCTACGATCCTTGAAACATCCAGAGTTTTTTACATCGGAAATATAGATAATCATGTTTAAGTGTATAACCACTTGTAACACTAAGATAATATCAATGAACACCTAATGAAAACTTGCACAATTTGAAACATTTTTATTAACTTGTGAACATAGAATATCAAAGGAGAGTGTTATCATTAATGGAATTCCCGTGTAGACATTTTAGAGTGTAAGACGTGTGTGTATCTCTCGACCAAGATATTACCGTGTATGTTGGCATAGTAGCCATCGACTTACGATTGTCAGTTACGAATTACGTAATAATTATAAAAGATGTAGCATAGTTATACGCAACACATCGCCTTAACATCCTCCATGTACCTTAACATTTCATTGAGCACGCTTGAGCAAACAGAAAATGATTAAAGCAAAGTTGAAAATGTTCATTTCACAAGCTAAATTGGAGTTATCTCCGCTGCACTGTCTAATTGGATTCTTATGACAGAATATATGCAATGTTTGTAAATAAGTTTGGAAAGGACTTAAATAGGCCTAGCTTGATGTCAAATCCAATTGACATATATAAAGTCAATACAATCTGATGAAATGAAATGAAATGAGCACGCTTGAGCAAGTCAGAAGTGATGACACGGACAAATATTTCGGACAGATGGACGAACAAAGCGACGACTGTACGCTCTCTGAATTTTCCACGCTAAAATCAGACAGGNAGGTAAAGCTGAAAAACTCCTATCTGTTGTTTTCATGGGATACAGTAGAAAAACAGACAAAGAAGCCTGTTTTGTCAGTGTGGCACATGGATATGTGAAAACAAAGACAAAGCCCAAGGCAAGGTATTTATCCTACGGTGGCTGGAAAGTCTAAAAGAACAGAAAGTTTGCACTGTGAAAATCTAACATACACAAGTAAATTGATTGGAATGAAGCCAAATTATTATTCTGGCTCGTTTCAGAAGAGACAAACCAAGACCATCGCACGTTAAAAACCGAGAGTGTTTACGAAGACGGCAAAAGAATCGAGTTGCAAATTTTCCGAATAAAATGGTTTTTAAGGTTATTGAATTGTATATAAATGCTCTATAAAATACAAATGTTTGAACCTGGAAGAGTGAATGAAAGCTTAGCTAATACT